ATTGTATTGTATTGTATTGTATTGTATTGTATTGTATTGTATTGTATTGTATTGTATTGTATTGTATTGTACTTTTTAATAAATAATACAAACAGATAACTCTCTATATTTAAACATTACTGTAATTATTTACAGAAAATCTAATTATTATTTATAAACTTCATGAGAATTATTTTTAAAAAATGATTAAGCTTTAAACATAAATATATAAAACTATTTTAATCAATTATTTACATTTAGTTCCTTGAAATCTGTTCATGCTTTCAGATCTTAGTTTAAACTATTCATGGCTTTGTGATAATAAAGTTTAAATAAATAAATCTAGGAAATAATTTTATATAATGGGACTGTTAACGTTATTTCATTTTAACATTGCCATCAAAGATTCCCAGCTACACGCTCATCTGTGCAACGATGACAAAGAATCTGTTCGGAATAAAAAAAATTTCGGCCTTTTTTTTACTCTTCTTTATTAAGGAAAATCCACAAGTTATTTTTTACAATGCTGCGCGGACCCAACTTTAAAAAAATCAGATCTTTCATCATCGATTCGATAAAGTTTTAAAGGTACTGATTTAAATCATTGATGGATTTTTTTCTAAAAAGACAATAATTAAGGTTACAGAAGCTTTGTAAACTCTTATTTAAGTCGCATAGAAAATGCTTAAAGTTAAATAAAGTAAAAATTAAACTTTGTAAATATATTATTTAGAATTAAAGGATAATTTTTAAATCTATAAATTTAATTTCTAAAGCTAGAACCTCAAAATTAGAAAATATTTTAGTATTTAGAAAATTCAAATAAGTTTTTTACTCTGCATTATGTAGTTTGCATAGATGTTTGGTAGATGTTACATTTAGGAAACTGGAGATATGTATACCAGTATACAGATTTAGGAAACTGGAGATATGTATACCAGTATACAGATTTAGGAAACAAACTGGAGATATGTATACCAGTATATAGATTTAGGAAACAAACTGGAGATATGTATACCAGTATACAGAGTTAAAAACTATAAACATTAGCGGGAACGTCACCAAGAAGAACCTAAAATATTTAATTGCATTAGTTTTTAAAACTGAAAATATGATAAATAAATTATCTATTATTTTTTTTTTAAATGTCCTGATGCAACGCAATTTTTGCGAAGTTTCATTATTATTTAATCTTAAAGAAAAAAAATGTTTTATGCAAATCAATTAAAAAGTTAGCAGCACTTCAAAAGAAAATTAAACAAAGCAGAATGCATAAAACATTTTACAGTTAGAGAAAAACAGGTTCTTTAAATGTGCCTTTTTCAAAACTGCATTCTCTATAAGTTTGTATTCAACAAATATTCAAAATTTGTGCTTTACTAAAATATATTAATTTTCATTTTAGCCCTATATCTGTACGACTGTACGAGTAAAACAAAAAATCGAGATGTTTTTTTTTGACAAAACCGTGATTTTCACAGCAACATAACTTTATCTCAACCGTTACTTTTTGAATTTTTTTCCTTTTTTAATGTATATTGCTTATTTACCTGTCCACTTTGGTATACATATGTTTCCTCTGCAAGGCAATTTGTTGCTCAGTTATGCCTTCGGTTTGATGAAGAGGTAATATTTCCTAAATTTGATTCGATTAATAATTCATCATTAAACGAGAACTCTAGAAATTGAAGTTGGTGAAAATACTGAATACTGAATACTGACCACTCTATCCGTAGATTCGCCATTTCTAGAATTATTGGCAGCGTGGGTTTCTATTGCTGACATCTTTAAATTATTCTTTCTTCTTCGCGGGCTTTCATCAGTCCAGCTGTCAGAATCACGCAACCTCTCAATCTGTGAAGATATTTAATGTTAAACTGTTTAAAACTCTTTCTTAGGTTTTAATGAAGGAAATCAGTGTACAGCTTAATTGTAAGTGTACCTTGTACTATGTAGGCATACTATGTGGGACCTGTGTATGTAAAGCTGGAATAGACCTGTACCTGTTACTGTGTATGTACAGCTGAAATATACCTGTACCTGGTACTGTGTATGTACAGCTGGAATATACCCCTGGTATTGTGTATGTACAGCTGAAATATACCTGTACCTGGTATTGTGTATGTACAACTGGAATATACCTGTGCATGTTATTGTGTATGTTCAGGTGGAATATACCTCCTGTACCTGGTGTTGTGTATGTACAGCTGGAATATACCTGTACCCGGTATTGTGTATGTACAACTGGAATATACCTGTACCTGGTATTGTGTATGTACAACTGGAGTATACCTGTACCTGGTATTATGTATGTACAACTGGAATATACCTGTACCTGGTATTATGTATGTACAACTGGAATACACCTGTACCTGGTATTGTGTATGTACAACTGGAATATACCTGTACCTGGTATTATGTATGTACAACTGGAATTTACCTGTACCTGGTACTGCGTTTGTACAACTGGAATATACCTGTACCTGTTGTTATGTATGTACTGTTGGAATATACCTGTACCTGGTACTGGGTATGTACAACTGGGGTCTCTAATAGTATTTTAGATTTATGGAAGAGAAGTGCAGCGTACTCTGCTAAAGCTGCAAACACGAAGAGTATACAGGCCAACATCCAGGCTTCAATAGCGGTCAACCCTTCAGCCTGGAATACATATATATAGAAGAGTATACAGTCCAACATACAGGCTTCAATAGCGGTCAACCCTTAAGCCTGGAATACATATATATAGAAGGAACAGAATAACCTAAAATATACGGTTGAAGACACAAACAGTACAGTACAATTTCATTAGTTAGAACTGACCGGGCCAAAGTTTGAGCGCAAATTCGACGTTCAAAACTCCTACTTTGGAGGGTGAATACGTATTCAGAATTAGTTTTTTTTAATTATTAAATAACGACCACATAAAATGTAAAAAAGTTCTACAATAAACTACAGATGTCATGTATAGGAACATTTTGAGAAATTAAAAATTAATCTTATCATCGAAAATAAGTAATCTTGTTCAATTATTAGTTTCTACTTTCTCATTATTCTGGTTTCTCATTATTTACAAAGATTTTTTGCAGATTTTATAGAATTATTATTGAAAAGACGACATTTGAAGAATTTGAAGAAATCTGCAAATAAATTCAAAGAAAATGAGAAATTCAATATAATAATGAAAAATAAATAATCGATTTTAGCATTGATTTATTGACAAATTTATTTTGAAAAATATGTTCCTAACTATCTTATTAGATTACTGGATAATTTTTACTTTATTTTTCGTTGTCGTTTTTTTATAATTTAAATAAAAATAATTCTGAAAACGTATCCACCCCCAAAGTAGCAGTTTTGAACGTCGAATTTGCGCTCAAACTCAGGATTTACAGATCTTTAAAAAGTTTAACATGTCTCAAATGAATCCGAAAGAAGTTTTCCACAACACTGCATACTCAGTTCAACTACCTTACATAGCCAGTCACTCCCTTTAAAATAAGTAAACTTTATACCCGTCTAGCTGCACGAGCTGCTCACATCTTTTAAGGGAATCTAATTGAAATTTGAAGTGACCTTCCATTTAAATAGTGGAAGATAACGTGGTTTTACTGACTTGAAAGTTGTTTATTTCCGATATATTCGCATATTTTTCTAATACAAATAACAAGCATGTCACATTGGCAGAGATCGCAAACGAAATGAAACAGCTTTAAAAAATAAATGTACATGGATATCTTACTCATACTTGGTCAGACAAAGCCTTTAGAGGGGTACCGTTGTGAATCGGACTTGCCACTCCATCATTTGAAAATACGTTTACACTCCCTTAAACTAAAAGTTTACCATTAAATTCTCTAATCGGTAAAACTAATCCTCAGATCAAATTAGTACGCACTCCGCAGTACTGGACCAACATTATGCAGAAACTCAATTGGTTTAACTTGTACTTTCTAAATGCATGTATCTTTTTTAAATACACCAGTTTGAAAAATAATAATTATTCTGACAGTTGTTTTTATTTCATTTTGACACTGTGTACATATTTACTGTTATTAAATTAATTTACACATTGCAAAAATATGTCCATCAACAAGTGTAGAGGACGCCTGCTAATTTGATTTTTCTTTTATTTAAAAACATTAAAATTATAAAAAACGTACCTTGGGCGTATTTGTTGTAACATTGTTGAATATATTGACGAGAACTAGAAACAGGGTAACCAGCAGCGCCATTCTTCCTAGATAAACATAACAGGGTTACCAGCAGTGCTCTTCTTCCTATATAAACATAACAGGGTTACCAGCAGTGCGATTCTTCCTTTATAAACATAACATGGTTACCAACAGCGCCATTCTTCCTAGATAAACATAACAGGGTAACCAGAAATGTCATTCTTCCTAGATAAACATAACAGGGTAACCAGCAGTGCCATTCTTCCTAGATAAACATAACAGGGTTACCAACAGGGCCATTCTTTCTAGATAAACATAAAAGTGTAACCAGCAGCGCCATTCTTCCTAGATAAACATAACAGGGTACCCAGCAGCGCCATTCTTCCTAGATGAACATAACAGGGTTACCAGCAGCGCCATTCTTCCTAGATAAACATAACAGGGTAACTAGCAGCGCCATTCTTCCTAGATAAACATAACAGGGTTACCAACAGCCCCATTCTTCCTAGATAAACATAATAGTGTTACCAGCAGCGCCATTCTTCCTAGATAAACATAACAGGGTAACCAGCAGCGCAATTCTTCATAGATAAACATAACATGGTAACCAGCAGCGCCATTCTTCCTAAATAAACATAACAGGGTTACCAACAGTGCCATTCTTCCTAAATGATTACATTTGTATACAGACAATGCAGTCTGTATTCAAAATACGATGTGCTTTTAGATCAAATTTATACTTTCCTAATATCTTGATTTTGAAATAAATATTTACATAAATTTAAAGTTTTCACTTAAGTTTATACATTTAAAGGGACTGTAAAGGAAAAATGAAAGGGGGTATAGGATGAAGCCTGAGAATCTTAGGCGTTAAACTATACATATAAAACGATCTGATGTTTTTGTCTCGAGAAATTGATACGAAAATTTATACGAAAATTCATATATATATAATTTTGTATAAAAGTTGTAGTATCAAACAGATCATATTGAACAAATACGCAACCAATCTGAAAACGATTATATCCCACAGAAACCTGAGAATCTCAGGTTTGCTCATATTATAATTTTTTATTTTTATTTTGCATTTTTAATAGATATAATTGATAATATAATCGTTGTCACGTGATACAGACGGTAATCACGTAACCAGTTTACTGCACTGTCATTGGCTGAAGTTCCGGTGACGTAATACGGACTATATGTGATTATATATCAATGTTATCTATTGAAAATGCCAAATGCAAATAAACAAACTATAATAGGAGGAAACCTGAGATTCTAAGGCTCCTGTGGGATATCGTCGTTTCTAGATTGATTGCGTATTTGTTGAATATGGTCTGTTTAATGCATAGATAAATAAATAAACATAGATAGCTTATGTGCACAAAATCACAGTCCGCGAACTAATACTTCTAGGGTCAAAGTGTACTCCAATGATAAGCGGGGTGGTTTGGTGTTTTAATGGATTTCATAATAGAGTGTAAAATAACTCCGGGAATGGAACTATTTGGACAGCAATATTTCAATGAGCAATTTATCATATTGACGAGAGCTGAAGAAGGACATGAGAAGGACTAAACCAACTTAAATTTCTCTCTACATAACTCATGTACACTACAAGTACTCAATGACATAAGAACAGCCAATGCTCACAACCGACCTAGTTAATCTATATAATAGGAATATCTTACATCTCTGTACATTTATATCGTTCAAGATGAAAAATGTCGTCTTATGCGCAATCTATCTTTATCTATGGTTTAATACTACAACTTTATACAAAATTTCACATATATAAATGATACAGTTTTACATCAACTTCTCGAGACAGATAGATGTTTTATTTGTATCGTTCAACGCCTGAGATTCTCAGGTTTAATTCTATACCCCCCTTTCATTTTCCTTTACAGTCCTTTTAAGGTTGATTTCAGGTCATCTTATTTCATTCTAATCATGATATTACTCTCTGTATATGTATATATACGCTGTAATCCAGTTATAAAACAGGAGCATCGATCCAGATTTTCCGGAGCTTATGCATCTTCATTTTATGTCAACTTTATGCAAATCTTTCATTAAAGGTAAACATTTTTTAAGGAATTGGGAATTGTTACTTCAGGGGCAGGATAGTTTATAATAGACACTATCTGAAGTGTCTTGCGTTGTTCGTGAAAAAAAAAAGTTTGAAGAAAATCTATTCGTATTTTTTTAGCCCGGGGTACTCAAGGGTTCCTTCAAATAAATTCAGCCCGTTGACGTCAATGCACTTTTCTGTACATGAATATTTATTCTATGATTGCAAGCCATTTTTTAAGCAACGATAAGCAATTTGCAAATTACAACTTCTATTTGACAACTTTGACAACATTAGACTCTTATCTTGATAAAAATCTGAATAAATAATTATACAATACATTAACCAATATACAGGAAATCACTGAAAATTCAAGTTCATTAAATAATGTGTGCAAGTAATAAGACGGTTATCCATGTATACCTGGAATACTGTCTGTAGGTGCTAGGAAGGATATCCATGTATACCTGGAATACTGTCTGTAGGTGCTAGGAAGGATATCCATGTATACATGGAATACTGTCCGTAGATGCTAGGAAGGATACCCATGTGTACCTGGAATACTGTCTGTAGGGGCTAGGAAGAATATCCATGTATACCTGGAATACTGTCTGCAGGTGCTAGGAAGGATATCCATGTGTACCTGGAATACTGTCTGTTGGTGCTTGGAAGGATATCCATGTATACCTGGAAACTGTCTGAAGGTGCTAGGAAGGATGGTGTTAGGTACTTTCCCAAAGGCATTTTCCCAAGGGCGACTTCCCAAGTGGCAATTTTCCAAGTGGCAACTTTCGAAGTTTGAAATTTCCCATACGGCAACTTCCCAAAGGTTAGTTCAGGCCCTCTGAGGCGCCTGAGATTACAATGGGGGTGGAGCGCTGCGGCTTGGATGGGCTAGGGGGTCGAGCGCCGCGGCTAGAGCAGGCTGAGGGCCGAGCGCTGCGGCTAGAACAGACTTGGGAAATTGCACATTTGGGAAGTTACCACTTGGGAAAATACCCTTGGAAAGTTGCCACTTAGGAAAAATCCTTTGGGTAAAGTACCTAAAATCGGAAGAATGTCCATGTATACCTGGAATACTTTCAGTAGGAACTAGGCAAAATGTCCATGTATGCCTAGAATACTCTCTGCAGGAACTAGGAAGGATATCCATGTATACATGGAATACTGTCCGTAGGTGCTAGGAAGAATATTCCTGGAATACTGTCTGCAGGAACTAGGAATAATATCTATACCTGGAATCACGCCTGTAGGAACTAGGAAGGATATCCATGTTTACCTGGAATACTGTGTGAAGGAACTAGGAAGTATATCTCTACCTGGAATCACGTCTGCAGAAACTAGGAAGGATATCTATACCTGGAATCACGTCTGTAGGAACTAGGAAGGATATCTATACCTGGAATAACGTCTGCATGAACTAGGAAGTATATCTATACCTGGAATACTGTCTGCAGGAACTAGGAAGTATATCTATAACTGTAATCACGTCTGCAGGAAGTAGGAAGTATATCTATAACTGTAATCACGTCTGCTTGAACTAGGAAGGATATCTATACCTGGAATCACGTCTGCAGGAACTAGGAAGTATATCTATACCTGGAATCACGTCTGCATGAACTAGGAAGGAAATCTATACCTGGAATCACGTCTGTAGGAACTAGGAAGGATATCTATAACTGTAATCACGTCTGCAGGAACTAAGAAGTATATCTCTACCTGGAATCACGTCTGTAGGAACTAGGAAGGATATCTATACCTGGAATCACGTCTGTAGGAACTAGGAAGTATATCTATACCTGGAATAACGTCTGCAGGAACTAGGAAGGATATCTATACCT